GTATCATATTTGATGTATCCTAAAGTTGGATTAAGGTGAGTGATAATTAAGAAAAACACCAATGAAGAATTCATAGAGATTAAATGATTTAAATTTTCATGCAAAAAACAAATTTAATCAACCTTATAGTGATACGATAAAAAATTCAATTTTCTGGAGAACTATTTTCTGTTTAACTTAATTCACATTATTACAAATTATCTGTGAATAAAACACCACTTTCATTTCTTCTTATCCATGGTGCTTCAGGTCTACACTCAATTGATTAAGCCTAAATTAATATCAATATCTAATTACATTTAAAGATTAAATAATTAGAAAATCAAATTATGGAGTAATATCTTTTGGTTGTGCAATAGGTAGTGAAAAATATGGATAAATTGAATATTAGGTTGACACAAATGGTTGTAGTTTAATTGTATCGGCTAACATAATTTCAATTCCTTGTGGGTTATCTTACAAATTAAATTCAGTTTAATCAATTAATAAATTTCTGATTGTTAATAGTACATGTTTCTATTCTGAAATTTTAATTAGTTATTCAAGTTGAGTATGAGAATATTTATACTTTTTAAGCATCATCCAACAAAACATAATATTATAATTTGTAATGTAAATTAGAGTATCAGATTTTGTATTCTGAATACACCTTTCAAATTCTTATATAGCTTCTTAATATTTCTGAAGATACAAATAGCAAATACCCTTATATTGATGGAGATACTATTTATTAAAAAAAAAAGAAGATTAATGATCTATTTTTTTTTGTAAAGTTATAATGGCTGAATCATATTCATATTTAAGGATTTGTTGATAAGCAAGAATCATATTTTAATCAAATAATTTATCTTAAATAAAGTCATTAAACTCTTATCCATCAAATTACTCTAATTAAAATAAACAAATAGCTATTTGCTACTTATGTTCAAGTGTTAAATTAGGTTCTTGTTTGTAAGTTTTATAAGCTTCTTCATACATCTTACTATTATAAAGCAGATTACCTGCACTCAAAAAATCATCAACATATTAGATATAACTATTCATGTCATCAAAAGCTGATTACATTTCTCCTAAATATGAATAACATTTAGATCTTTATAAATAGGCTTTTTAATATTGATCATCAATTCCAAGGCAAACAGAAAAGTCTTAAACAGCATTAATGATGTCTCCATTTAATGCTATAATTAATCCTTTCAAATAATAATGATCAGCTAAATTTTCATCAGCTTTTTCAATAGCTGTTAGTATTTCTTTATATGCATCTTCAATATTGTCCATTAACATATAAGCCAATGATTTTAAATACATCAATTAAGAATTATTCTAATTCTACTATTAGGCTCGAATTAAACATTGCAATGAATTATTGACATAATCAGAATTCTACTGCTTCAAACCCTCTTTAATTAATAGAATTGCTTTATACATATTAGGATCAATCTAATTATAACTTAATGCTTAATCAAATTTAGAATAAGCAATCTCAAATGAATTAAAATTAATAATGCCTTCACATATGATTTAATTGTATGGTAATGACTTATTCTTTCTAAAATCCTTTAATGCTTCTTCAAAATTATTTAACATCATATTCAAATATCCAATATAAGAATAGTATATATCTGAGATTAAAAGAGGAATATCAAGTTATTGTAATTTCTTGAATGCTTCATCTGCTTAAATATAATTCTTTTTCATTAAACAAACAACAGCTTCAGAGAATTGAATGTAAGGTTCCAATTACTATTTATCGACATCCAAATATTCAGTTCTCAAAAGTGTATGATATAGAGAGTAAAAGTCTTTTGATTCTATTTTGAATTTACTAATTTCGATCATTGCCTTTGATACAGCACTTCTAGAATTATTGTTCTAAATGGCTTATTCATAATATAATTGACTTTCTTACTTTTCACCAAGCTTATATAAAATTTAACCTTTCAACTTATTAGCTTCTGATGATTGTTCATCTTGACTTAAATACTTATTAACATAAAATAATACCTAATCAATCATTTATAAAGCCTACTGATAATTGGCCATTTCATATAAACATATAGACATTTTCAAAATGTTCAATTTAGACTTATCACTTGTATCGAATTGCAATGCTATTTAATAATTTTTAATTGCCAATTCTAAATTATTCTGCAATCTCTAGCAATCTCCAAGATAATGAAATCCTGTTGATCTTTTCGAATTTATCTTTATAGCAGATCTCAAAGTTGTTTCACAATCCTAAAATCTTCTTAATTTAAGCTCCAATTTACCTTTAAAGATCATAGCGTCATAACATTAGGGATACAACTGCAAACATTCATCTAACTATTATGAATATACCATTAATACTGTTCTTATGGACCAGTCTACTTGCATTAACTTTTTATAACCAAGTGCAAGTATTATATATACATTCTTATTGTAATTTGGCTATTGTTCTTTAACAAATTTTAGTTCTTTTATGCATTTTTCATACTAATTTTAAGAGAAATGACAAACTCCCAACATATAACGACTTGGTATATGTAGAGAATCTATCAATAAACATTCGTTATAGTATTTAATTGCTTCGATTAAATTCTTTTCTCTGAACGCATTTTATCCCTATATTTACAATAGAGAATACAAATACATATTAAAAATGTGCTACAAGATTCCCCATAAAATCATTTGCCTTAGACCCTCTCAAAACACTTCCTGAATTTTTGAACTTTATATTGGAATTTCTTCTCTTTTAGAATTCATAATCAAAGCTTGTATTACGAGATGTTCTTATATTAATTGAATCATTGAAGATGCTGTACTTTTTGTAATTTTTTGGGCTTAATCTAGGTTATATACTCATTTGTAATATATATAATTTATAACTAACAATCATCATTGTTTATTTTGATAAAAAGTAAAAGTCTTTTTTCTTGAATCACTTCTCTCTTTCACATCCTAAAGATTATGTAATAGATATACAGTTTGATTGTTGTAGACTTCAGTTTAATAATTTCCGAAAGCCTCCTAGAAGCTGGATAATCTTTTGTTAACGCTCTATTAAATATATAATCATCACAATTATATCTTACCTTGATTAGATGTATACATCTTTTGATCAATAGATGGTTTGCTTTCACTTTCATATTCACTCTATAACTCATCTTGCTTTGTAATTTGCAATTGTTGAAACATATATGGGTTTTATTCTCTCAATAGATTGTATTAGATAGATGATAAAGTATTCATAAATTAACTATCTATAATAATTTATTGTTGTTCCTATCTATTCTTATATTTGATTAATTCTTATTGCAATAATTTCAATTGGATTAATTAATCAATGCTAAAAGATTCTAAAAGATTAGTTGAAATATTCAATAATTATGATAACTTTTGATCACTTTTTAATTAGGATCTCTTTCTTGAAGGAGAGGAATTGCTTCTTTCTTGTTTCTCAGATTCCTCAAATTCTAAAGTTCTGTTTTAATTATTCTCTAAAATAGTGGCTTATAAATTTGCATTTTATTTGTTGTAACTTGGTTCTTATAATTTCTAATATAAAATCGAAATAAGTTTAGAGACTCTTTCAATCTCTTAATGTTATGGATTTTTGAGCAATTATTTTCTTATGTTAAAGCATTCCTATAATCTATTATAAGCATTTTAATGTTCATTATATTAGATATGTAATTTACCTAAGGTTTCTAAACAAACAGCAGCTTGTAAAGAATTCTAACCAATAATTTATCTTCTTAATTTTAAAGCCTTCTCTAAAAAATCGATTGCTTAATCTTTCTTATTTTGTTGTTTGTAGATTACACCCATATTATACCAACAATCACTTACACTTTCCATATTAGGATTGAAATTAGATCTAATATTTAAAGCTCTTTTAAAACATGCTAAAGCTTATGTATAATGTTTGTGTTACAAATAGAATGTTCCAACTAAAAAGTAAGCATTACCTGTCTAATTACTCTAAATTAATAATAATTTATATTTACTTCTTCTCCATAACATTTCTCTATCATTAATGTATACTCAACGTATGCTTACTCACATTATCTTTAATCTCCAGTCTCATAGAATAATTAGGCCATAACTTTAAGAATGTTTGACACTTTTATTTAATCATTCTTTTATTATGTTTAAGTCAATTATTTGACCTACTCAAAAATTGTGATTAATGTTTTCCTGGCTGTTTCTAATTCAAGTAATTTGATTTAAGCTACATTTTATATTATCATACCTCTAACCAATAACATTTAATCAGCTATCTTCTCATAGGTGTCTTCTTTACCTCCAATTAACTCTAATTTTTATGCTAATTCAATTGCTTTTCTTATTTATTAAATCCCATCCTAATAATCCCTTTATGATAATAATCTTATAGAAATCTATCTATAACGATCATGATCCTCCATCAATATATCTCTTTCATTCATAATCAATTTCTTATCTGATTTAGGTTAAACTGTCTATTAAATTTCTAATCTCTATGGCTTAGATGCAGGACTCTTACTCAATGTATCATCCATCTATTTATTATCTTAATTTTTAAGAGATTGACAAGATTATTAATGAATTGTCCAATGTGTACGTTAATGTTCAACAGAACAATAAAATACTTATTTACATTGAGAACATCCTAACGTTGTTTTTAAAGAACACACTGCACATAAATTTAATTTATTTTACATCTTAAAATAATTATATAATTTGTTATTCAAATATGAGAGTCCAACTTACAAAAGTGAGTTGAATTCAAATTCTATGAAACAGATGATTTTATTTCCATCCAAAATTTCTTAATTTTATTACAACCATTTAATATTTTATATGAACATCTTTTTACTAATTGATTTTCTATTTTCTCATCTGATTCTTCTTTATTGTTCTACTTTTTCTTCTTTGATTTTTTCCTTCTAAATTCTGCCCAAATGGCTTTAGCTGATGAGTAATTTATACCTATTGAATTAGCAGCCTACAATCATAAAAATTGATATATCACCGATTTTATAGTTTACTTTTCAGATATTACAGCTTTTAGGAATAAATCTTTTATTGATTCTGTCATCTTTAAATATTTCTTTTAAGCTAATCGTGGATCAAATTTTAACATTTCTTTCTCTACTTACTATTTAATGTCATCCAATATTTTCATTGTAACACTTTATTTATATATATAAATAAAAATTGGAGGATCTGCTTAAAAAAAAACAAACTATAAACACTGACTCTATATTATCAAGATGTTTATCAAGAGAAAATTTAAAATTTGTGACTATCATAGAATACAAAAATCAACATATTTTCAAATCTTTTAAATAAAAACTCTAATTCACAAATCATTATTGTATTCTTTAATTGAATTAAGGTATCTATTCAAATGATCTCGATAAAATATCTTATAGTTTCAATTAATTATAATTTATCATCAAATCTAATGATTTTTAATATCATTTTCTATGAAGCAAATAGGTCATAATATTTAAAATTCTATAACATTGGAATTATACTAATAAAATTCATTCATTTATAATTACACAATTCACCAGCTTAAGGTCTGTTTTAAAATTCTAATTTCTCTTAAAATAGATAGTATATCCAAAAGCAATTAATTTAAGATTAAAATGCTGCTCCACCGACTCTTATAATTGAAAATTTGGTTTTAATTGAAAAATATTATATATCTTCTCAAATAATTTAATAATATCTCATCTATATAAATTTAGTAACCTTTCTTTGGGACTTTTACTTTAAAATTAACTGTATCTTATAAATATTTTAATAAAAATAAATAATTTATTAAGATTCTTAATATATTATAAACCAAAAAATATAGGAATTACTTTCTTAAAGTCTTACATAAATTCATTTGTAATAATCAATATATGTAAATTGTCTGAATGAGACAATTTTGAAAAAATAAAGCTTTTACTTTATTACATCCAAATGCAGTTAAATGAGAAAAGTAAACTTTTTCATAATAATTTTATTATATCATAAATTGTAATAGGCGCTCTAAAGTGTTTAGTTTGGATATTTCTATAAAAACTTAGATTATTAAAATTAATTTTTAAGAAACAAACTTTTTCCTGTATGCATTTAAAGATTAATATTTTATTTACGCAAATTTTATAATGAGACTTTATATAAAATGAAATTCTAGTGAAAAAATTTAAATTTATTTATTGTATATTAAATAAAGAAAATAGATGAAATGTTATTTATAGATGTTCTTCTTTATTTTGTTAAATTGAAACATGAAAAAGAGCATTCAAAAGTTTATAAAATTTTAATTCTTTGACTAAGTTTTCTCACTAAAACAAATTCAAAATTTAATGATATGCAATTATGTTATTTTTACTTTTTAAAAAATATTTAATAATAATTGGCAAACTTAACATTTTAAATAAAAATTGAGCATATGAAAATTGTTTTCTAGCATAAAAAATTTATTTAAAACTTTTCTTAATACTTGCTTGTTAAATAAATTAATTTAAATATATATTTAAGGAAAAAAAAACTTACTATGCTTTATCAATAGAAAAAAATAAATATGAATTTAAACTAATTATTATATAATGTGTGATTCAGAATGGGGATAATTGGATGGATAATTTATTGTCGTTGTTCGTAATCAATAACATGTAGAAGCATTAATGAAAACTGAGTAATAATTACTCACAAGTCTAATAAAAAATGTATGAATTCGGTTTATCATAAGCATGTTCCTGTTATTTTTAAGGAAGATCTTTAGCTGGTTTAGTAACCAATTGAGCTAATATTAGATTATTTCAATCAGCCTTAAGGAATTATTGAGACCAATATTTTAAGTTATCAAACTCTAATATAGAAATCATTTTAATTGAGACACATTCCTAAATTAAAGGAGATAAAAAAAATCACAAAAACAAGATCCTTCTAGACTCTTTAAAAGCCTATAGTGAATGATCGATTATATGCTATTCTTAATATAGAAAAAAAATAGGAGTAAATAAAAAAAGATGAGATTTATATCTTTAAGGATTTATCGAAATCTGTAGATCCAATTATCATAAAGGGTTTTAATGATGATTATGAATTCGGAGTTTTAATTGTCATATATGAAAAATTGGGATTAAGCCATGTTGATTTGTTGAATGAAGTAATTAAATTGTACATTTAGCAAAGAAACTCAAAAACCTTATAATATTTAAGTTTATGGGTGGATTATCGATATGTAGATTTAATTACTGATAATAGTGTATTTTGCACAATATTTTTGCAATTTTTAAATTTAGTTGAATTGATAACTTCTAAAAAAGAAAATGAATTATAATAGAAAATCACAAATATTTTGAATGGAAAAAAGATAATATTTACATAAACATTGAATTCTCCTTCCCCAACTTCTTTATTAAAAAAATAGAGTTTTCACCTTCCTTAAAAGAATAAAAAATTTAGAAATTTATCAATGTAGATATCAAATTAATCAATACATTAGAATGTATTGTAATAATTTGATGGAAATTAATTCTATATAAATTGCAATGTTGAAATGCTGTAAAAATAATTTTGGATTATTGATATAGAGCAATTTTCAAAGATAAGTATAACAGCTATGCTTAACTAAAATCATTTAATAAAGTATTGTCAGTAATAATTTACAGGAATGATGAGATTAGCGATTATTTTGATTATCTTTTATTCCACATGATATTTAGTACTATCATTAGCACAAAAGACTAGAAATTGATACTTATTAAAAAGTTCATATAATTATATCAACTCACGAAAGAAGCAAAGCATTATTAAATGATCCATATCCTTTATACTTATTTTAATCATTTCATTATTCAATCATTACTAAAATCTATTTGTGCCTTAAATCCTATAGAAAAAATAATTCTTTAAGAGATTTTAGAAAAAGAATATTTTCGAACATTGATTGCAATTGATTTAAATGATCGATAAGGTATAATTCCTTGTTTAAGCCTGATTCAGCTTTATGTTTATAAATTTTTAGATGTAAAAGATAAACAACCTAATAAATTAGTGTTGTTAGCACAATAATTATTTTAGATTGCTCATTTATAGATGTTAATTAATAAGCTAAATGGATAATAAACTAATTATAAAGATGATTATATATGTAAATATTTAAAAAGTGGTTTAAAATAAGAATTGTTAGGATATTTTGGATGTACCAAATAAAATATTGAGATATAAATATTAAAATATTATAATAACAAAAATTGATAATCATGACTCTATACTAGCTTATAAACTTGTTATAAAATACCCTAAGCTACTTGAAAGTACATTTTGAGTCAGTAAGTTTTATAAAATAAATATATGAACATGAATGTCATAAATTTTAGATTTGATAATTACATATTTTAAAACTGGTAACATATCATCTGAGGCTAATAAGAGACTTTTTCCTCTTCCTTTTGTCATACAAGTTGTAACAACTTAAGACATTTTTAAAATCACTTTTGCTTTACTTGCAGGTCCATATTTTTATTATATTTTTTATAATATTCTAATTGCTGATAAGTATGGTTGATTTTCATCTAAGAATTAAAATTCTCTTGATATACCCATTTCACGAGTTGAAAGATTATCATTTTCAATCATCTTTCTTTTTGTAAGTTAACATTATTCCTACAATTCCTCATATATTTTATTATATATTTTATCATAAAGTTCAATATCTTAGAGTAGACAATTTGTAATAAAATTTATTAAAGTATCCTTGTTAATTAAACAAGTATATTCAGGCATTTATTTTTTGAAATGTAAAATTTTGTAATATGAGACAATACTTTAATAAAGAAAGTCAACAAATTATTTAAATGAATCTAAATAACTTTCATCTGTTAAATATGATTCTTTGAAAATCTTAATAAGTTGACTTATTTCATTTGATTTTATTTAGTATTTTATAATATCTGTGAAATGTGCAAAGTATTCCATGCTCCTTTTAGATAACTAACTTATTTAACATACTTTCTCATGATATATATAAGATTAAGTATCTGATAAAAGACTCCCAGAAATAGAACAATCTTATTATTCAATTTACTACTCAGATAATCCTGTTCTTCTAAAAATTTTTTTTAATTGTGTCTAATATACCTTATCATCCTCCATCTATGAACATTCTATTTTTATTGTTTAAAATGAAGCATTCATCAAATAAATATCTCTTAACTAAATATCCCTAATTGCTTCAATATTTTTAATTTAAGACACAATAGCTTATGTCCAAGAAAAATTATAAGTACCGCATAATTTCTTAATTTCTTTTTTCCATTCACACGATTCAGCACTCTCTTCAGAACAAAAATTCCCCATCGATAATTTTATGGATAATTTTTTCAATAATTTACTTTATGAACTTATTATTCAAAAAAAATTTAATCATATATAAAAAGTAATGTTATCATAATTATTCATATAATATTTGAATCAAACCCAACAAAGATAATAGAAGTATTTCTTATTAAGTTAAAAATGAAATATTGTGGATAAAAAATAATGATATTTCGCCATTAATTTTAAAAATTATTTAATTTATTATTAATAAATTTCTCTGTCTTAATGATAATATTCTACTTTTATGTCTTAGTTTTAAAATACTTCAAATTATATTTAGTTAACATATTATTGATAATAAATTGTATGTCATCAACTGATGATTAATAAATATATGTTTATGGGGATTTCATTAATTTAAATTTTTTACTTTTTTCATTATTTTAAGAAGATATAAGACACAGCATACAATTAATATTTTTAATGATTATGCTTATTTTTATGAGTGTGATATTAATGATCTATAGTTAATAGATTAAAATTGGAGAGAAGTGTAAATGCGTACAATTGTTAACTTAAAATGATTGTTCAAAGATAAGTTCATGTTATTGGGATAATTAATTAATGTAGTGTAAGACATCGATGGACATTTTTTCTTAGAAATATTTATTAGAAAATATAGATGATGTTAATGAAAATAAGGCTATTTCTTTCTTTTGTAATTAAATGAGTCAAGAACTTTGTAATAAAGAATCCTCCTGTGTTTGGTTCAAAGAAAAATGCACTCATTTTACAGGATGTACAGCATATTTAAGAGGAAATCATGAATAATGTCAGGAACTATCAAGACTATGTATTTCTGATTCTGAAATGTGTGTAAATATTGATGAATGTTTTACATATAAAAATTCCTATTCATGCCAATATGATAAATTTGGAAAGTATTGTAATTGGGATAAAGTTAAAAGTAAATGTGAGAGTGCTTGGTAGTGCAATCAATTACCTTTGATATTAAAAACACATTAGGAGTGCTAAGATCAATTAGAAAAATGTAAGATTTTATAATTATTGTTATAGGCACTACGAAATCAGGAGGTGGATGCATAGAATTGACATATTAATGTCATGATATGAAAGAAAAAGAATCATGTTTTACAAACAGTGGTAAAAATAAAAGCTGTTTTTGGAATAATAATTAATGTTTAGAGATTACTTGTGACAATGCCCCAAATCATTATTAGAGTGATGAGGAATGTAAGTTATTCTTATCATAATGTACTACCAAAAAAGGAGGTGGTTGTGTTTAAAGAACCTAATGTAAAGATGCTAATGTTAAAGAGGCATGCGTTGTTAATTAATATGGTGAAGCTTGTTTATGGGATGAATTTTAATGTTTAGATAGTTTATGTGAAAATGCACCCTCATCATACACAACTTATGAATAGTGTCAAAGTATACATTAGATTTGTATCACAACTGGTCATGGCTGTATTAGTAATTATGGTTGTGAATTTGCACCTTCAGAATAATATTGCTTTAAAGATGGTGAATATAATGATTGTATATGGAAAGATAATCATTGTATAAGAAAAGAGTGTTAACATGCTGGAGATAATTATAATGGTTTAGAATAATGTCAATAATTTTTGTTTTTATGTACAGGGAATATTAATAAAAGTGGTTGTATTGAGAAAACTTGTTGGAATGCTCCTTTAACATTAGTTACAAATTAAGAATGTGAATCTTATTTGCCTAATAATTAATGTATTACTAAAAAAGGAGGAGGTTGTAGAAAAAATGCAATGTGTTTTTAAATAGATAATGAAGCAGGTTGCAAGACAGACTCAATTGGTAATAGATGTTTTTGGAATTATTAAGAGGAGAAATGTATAAAGATAACTACATGTTCAAGTATTCTGAATTAACAGAATTGTATAAAAGATTCTTATAATGCAGAATGTGAATGGATATCATAAAATAAATGCGTTTTAAAGAGTTGTGATA